TTCTAATTAGCATTCCCTAACTGCACAAACAGCATCTACAGGACCCCAGTGTGGCTTAAGGGCTGACCCTGTATTCTCAGACCTAGAAAGTGAGCTCAGAAATAGCAGCAGGTATAGTCACAAAAAAACAAGAACCCTCCCGAGACAGCACGTGACTGAACACCAAATGAGCAGTGCAGTGTGTGCAGGACAGAGCTCTATGGGCTGGTGTGGTCAAGAAAGGTTTCATGGAGATGGTGTGCGAAGAGTGAGAAGGCCTTGAGGAGGTTGAATAGAGAACTAAGGGCATTCCAGGAAGGCATCCTGTGCAGCTAAGGTGTAGGGATAAAGTTGGAAAGGTGCCAAGGCCAGCCTAATGAGTTGGCCTCTATCCTACAGCCCTGTCATTTCTTAATGACAGAAAGATCTGTCATTAAGATCTTTCAGGAAAACAGATTAGTGGTTTAAAAACCTGGGATCTGGATCATGCACACTCCAATGGCCAGTTACGTGACTGACGCTAAGTTACCTAAATATTCCCAAACCTCAGTTTACTTATGTATAACATCAGAAAAAGGTCTATTATAATACATCTAAGGATTGGCATGAGAATTAAGTGGATTTACCGGCAATCCTTGGCATAATACCTAGCAGAGTAAGCACTCAATAAATGGTAGCTATCATAAGAAACTCGGCCAGGCGTGGTGGCTCAAGCCTGTAATCCCAGCACTTTGGGAGGCTGAGACGGGTGGATCACGAGGTCAGGAGATCGAGACCATCCTGGCTAACACGGTGAAACCCCATCTCTACTAAAAAATACAAAAAACTAGCCGGGCGAGGTGGCGGGCGCCTGTAGTCCCAGCTACTCGGGAGGCTGAGGCAGGAGAATGGCGTGAACCCGGGAGGCGGAGCTTGCGGTGAGCTGAGATCAAGCCACTGCACTCCAGCCTGGGTGCTAGAGCAAAGCTCCATCTCAAAAAAAAAAAAAAAAAAAAAAGGAACTCTACTGGATCAACAACCGAGTGACAGAAAAGCTACAAATTAAAAGTTTTAAGAGACCTATCAACCAAAAGCATTGTGTAGACCTTGTTTAGATCCAGATTTAAACTAACTACAAAATAATTATGAGACAACTGCAGAAATTTGAATACTGATTGCATATTTGATGACATTAAGGAATCACTTAACTTTTTAGATTTGATAATGATATCTTTTTCTTTAAAAGAGATTACCATTTAGTCGATACATAATAGAAAAGATTTCTATGGCACTAAAAGTGATATAACATCTAGGATCTTGCTTTAAAACAATCCAACATCGAGGA